TTTTACTTCTTTTTTTTTTTTTTTTTTTTTTTTTCTTTTACAATGTACAGTTGGCTCAGTCTTTTGGAAGGAACACGATGGTTACAACATATGTCTGGATTGTTACGCGCTGCGGTAACCGTAGCGTCGGCGATAGAAAGAGACGGTCGGCCAGTATTGGTGCATTGTAGCGATGGTTGGGACAGGACGCCCCAGATAGTCGCTTTAGCGCAGATCCTTCTTGATCCTTATTATCGAACTATGGAGGTATGCCAAAGGTACTTGCTTTTTTCATCGTCTATTATTTCCGATTGATAATCGTTTCGCTATTCCGTTTGATACTTGCTAGGGATTCCAAGTCTTATGCGAGAGAGAATGGTTAGACTTTGGACACAAGTTTGCGGATCGTTGCGGGCAAACTGTCGGTTGCGAAGATCCGAACGAGCGATGTCCAGTATTTTTACAGTGGCTCGACTGTGTACATCAGTTGATTTTACAATTCAAATGCAGTTTTCAAATGTCTCCAGCGTACCTTGTAAGCCAATTGAAAATCCGTATATATCTATTTCGAAAAATCCAGTAGATTCACTTATCTGATTACCAAAAAAAAGGTCAATCGTAGGTAGGGCATTAATCAATTGTCGATTTTAGGTGAAACTTGCACAGCATACGTATTCTCAACTTTTCGGCACATTTCTATGCAACACGAAGCAAGAGAGGCTACAGTTAAGAATACGGGAGCGTACATTTTCGGTCTGGCGTTTTCTCAATTCCAGTTCTTTTATAAATCATTTGTATTCACCTTTAAAGAATCAAGTAAGACATTTTTTTTATTGTGTACGTTAATTGTTACGCTACACTGCTTGTTCTCGCATAAGTTTTGTTACGTAATAAGCAACGATGATAGAAAAAAACGGCTGGCCGCTATTGTACTTTTGATTTTAAGCATTTAATGGATATGTTATGTCAAAGCGTTTTATTTTATTTTATTTTATTTTTTAGGTATTATGGCCAAGTTGTAACGTGCGCGATCTTGTTTTATGGTCCGAAGTATATTTAGGTTCTATGGAATCTCCTCTCGGTATCAGGGACGATAAACAAAGAGTAACGATGCTGGATATTGAGGGTGGTGAAAGCGAAGAACCACAGGGACAAATGACAAAAACTCGTTCATACGGCGATCTTATGCACACCCCCGATCATGCGGCCTATCTTCATCGCCGACTTAGCGATCCAAGTGCTTCGGTGGAAAAGTAATTTTATATTTATTTAATCTTAGAAGGGGTGCAACGTGAAAATAACTGTTGCGTCAAATTGTTTGTTCTTTGTCCGAGACAAAGAATCGAAAACGAGGAGAATGTTATATTTTTAATTGTGTAATATGATTACAGGAAGTTCGACTCGTTGACACTCGATTCGGAAACAGGAGAGAAAGGAAGACACAATTGCACCGAGAATTGTATTATCGACGATATGGTAGAAAAAGACACAACGGAAAATCAGAATAAGACGCAAAATTGTACAACAACGACGCAAACTTTGAACGATTCGCCAGTCAATCCCTCGGTAGACAGTTCAACGGATACGCTAATACCCAGTAATGACTCTTTACTCGATACAATAGACAAGGAGACGTAAGTATCGCCACATATTCGTCATTGATATATGGAATAAAGTGTGAATGCAATAAATTAATCGAGTAGACAGTCTATAAGTTAAAATTTGCATATATTTATTTGATTCCAAAATGTCAATTTTGAAATTCAAAATGCCAAAGTATAATCATCAACAATATGAATTCGATTCGAATGAAGCAACAAAAATTTTTCTCAAGCAGCAAAACGCAGAAAAATTCGCCACCGGACATTGTATCTCCGTGGATCGAGAGCAACGCGACCAGTCGAATTGTTTGTTCTTGCAATCGAAATTACAATCACAATCATAACGAGGGTAGTGACGTTAGTGACACCAGTGCACCGCAGATATCCAGAACACCTAGTAGCGTGTGCCCAGCTTCGCCAACTTATCAAGATACAGTGCCAGATAATCCTGATAGATTGGACGATGTTGATGGTCTTCCAGTTATACATTGCGATGTTCAGATGCGTGTGCAACAAATAATCGTAGAACATAAGGTACTAATTTCGATCGTTTAAATGTAGTAATTAGGAAATGGTCGTGACACCTTGTTCCCTTTCTTTTCTTTCTCTCTTTCTTTTCTTCATATATTATATATTACTTTTCAGTTGAAGGAAGAAGCGTTAAGGAAGGAGTTACATACAACGAGAATGGCTCTGATCAAGCAAGTTTGTAATCATAATGCAGAGGTTGATCGTGTTGATGATATTGTGAGTTAATTAAAAATTATTCCCTTTCAGAATGAAAATAGTTATATAGAAAAAGAATAAAGTAGAAAGAAAGAAAAAGGACGAAGAAGAAATAATATCAGAGATAATCGAGAAAAATAGATGTCGATTTAATGCGATCGTTTATTTCAGGGTTCATTACCAGATTCGATTGGAAGTACCGGCGATCACGGAGAATCATTACCTTCGGATATGTCGTGGGAAGCAGTGGAGGAATTGGGCCCTGCCCCTACTCTCTGGGTACCCGATCATGCGGTGAGTCGGTGTATGGGATGCGATACGGAATTTTGGCTGGGACGACGTAAGCATCATTGCAGGTATGCGGCATGTAGAAGAATGGCATTCGTACTCTCTTAATCATTGTTCAGTAATACAACACTTGTACAACATAGTTATATAATACAGCCAAATGTAGAAAAAAATATAAGAATATAATTTTACAACGAGTTATTTGCTCATTTATCGCAGATGCTGCGGTAAAATCTTCTGTGCGGATTGTTCCGAAAATTCGACACCACTACCTAGCGAACAACTGTATAATCCCGTGAGAGTTTGTAGCGAGTGTTTCTCTCGACTTCATCGGCACACAAGCCCCTGTCAGTGTAATGCTCGTCATCAGAGCAGAGGAGAAAACGACGCGGAGTCAAATTCTGAAAACTTGACGACTTGTCAAAGATCAAAAGGTTTGAACCTGACGAAAGACAATTGCTGCGATAATTTGCTGCAGGTTGCGCATCAAAAAGCACAACCTCCAGTTACAGCAGCCACCGTAAATTGAATATTCTCGCGCAAGCGACGAAGGGAACAGTTCGTAGCACTCGGGTTATCGTTTGGTTTTCGACAATGCGAAAAGCGTATCCTTAATACGATAAGTCAGTTGCGATACGTGTTCGCGCGTTTTACCATTTATGTCTGTGCGATGTGTACCACAAGCAGACGTATATGTCGCGTGCGAGCTGATAGCTACCGTCGTACAATTAGATGGATTTGGAGCGATCCAATATTTATTGCTAGAGTAATTATTTGTACGAAAAAGAATGCGTAGAGTGCATCGGAATAAGTGAGAGAAAATAAGTCAAGTATACGATAGGTTGTATATGCCTTATACAATTTTACGTATACACATAAGCTATATAAGTTGATTCAACGAGGAGATACCTGGCTTCTTCGAACGAGACTATTCAAGTTTCCCTGTTTTTAGACGATCTTATTCCCTTCTCAGAGACACAATAAGACGAGGCCAAGGAACATTTGGATAGGCTGTGACTGACGTCTAGTTCTAGACACCGTACGAGGTGCGCTCTTAATTAATCGTTGATCGATCGATCGATGGAACAACTCGTTATTATTATTAGTTGGATTACGATACGAGTAACCTGTATTTGTATATTACCGCTGTTCACGAGAATTGGTATATTAAATGTCATTATCGTAACATGCGATTGTCTCTCTGTCACTTTGAACTTTTCTTCCTCTCTTGCTCAGTATTGTACCAGAATAACGAGGTTCGTTGTTACGGCTCCCGCAATCTAAATCATGTACGTGTACATGTGCACATACACGATATAAACACAAGAATATATGTCCTACGTATGTAAAACGTTAGTTGAATGCATTCTCATGCGAGTAATCGAGATATTCTTACCGACGTTATCAAGTTTCTGTCCAACGAAAAGAGTCCGCATGCCGAGAACTCGAGAGGTCGATGCAACAATTGAAGCGAAAATATTTCCAATTCTCGTCGGGTGTCTGCATCAAAACTGCAGGAAAGTAACTGACTAACGAGAGTTGCCGTTCTTTTCCCCTGAAAACGAAGTACATTGCAAGCAAATTCGTCTTGCATTTTTCTTTTCTTCTCTCCTCGTTTCGTCTTTCCTCGTCTCTTACCTCCGCCACTGTGGAATAGCTAGGTTGAACGATTATTAGCATTCTGGTTATGTGAATGATACACCATCCAGCTTGTACAAATAGAAATATCCATTCGTGTTTTTCACTCGCTTTAGTAACTTGTAAGATTAGGAAATACGGCGTGATAACTAAATGTAACAGACAGGTTACAGTAACGGCCAATAGTACAACACCGAATGTAGTGTTTATGAGAGAGACTGCATCGCAAAGCAAAGAGTGAACCATTATGAGATCAGATATACCATTGCAGGATTTGCTTTCTGTAAACGCACAACAGGCAAAGTTCAAATTAATCCATTCTCTTACCCATCGGTTTTCATTAATTATTTACCAAGTTTACAATCCATTTTCCGCGACAATCTGTAACTGCCCAATACGAGTTGCCTTTTCGATGTGATGTTGCATCTTTTCTTGTCTCCAGCTGCTTGCATGGCTCAACCAGATACACAGTGTTTCGGTTGTTTTGATCGATGAAATAAAAGATTAAAGATTAAGCAAAGATTACTAAGACAAATTGAGGGAAAGATACGTACGAAATGTCTTACAACTAGCGGTACAACCAGGAAAGAGGTGATTTTTCATGAAAAAGTTAACAAGTCAAAAATATAGAATAATATTCTTCTATACAAAGCTTTTTTTTTTTTTTTTTTTTTTTAGAAAACTAATTTAGACGTTTACTTGGTATGTCTGTATTTAACTGTGTAATACTATGTCTCAAGTGGTAGTCAATGGATCTTGCCATTTATGTTTGCGTTTATTATAGTATTTCATAGATAATATAATAATGTCAGAACATTAGCACGAAATCAAATTTGTTTTATTGTATATGTTAGACGAAATTTATATTTACATTTCACATTGAGACAACCAGTCTCTTATATGTTTTTGCATTTGTTAAAAATATCTAAAGTAAAGTAAATATTTGTTATAGTATTGTGTATGGAGTAAATCTCTAATTTAAGTTTCGTTTCTTCAATTATATTAACAAAAATATAAAATTTGTATAAAAATCTACAGCCTAATAAGCAAACTAAACAGATATAGATATTCTCAATCTGAATTGTGTATATACACAACAGAATGCAAATATTACAATATCATCGTTATAAAATTTTCTGCTTCATCATGCGCATTGGTCTACTAACTTTAAACACAGTTAAATGAACACTTACCATGTAAATATTCAACTTTTTCGGAAATGAAATTTCATCAATGAAAAAGTTTCATTTTACATTCTCAACTTACCATGTTTACTTACCTGTTTCAGAAAATTTCCGAAAATAACCGATTGCATTATCGTTGCTGCTGTTACTTGCATCTAACAGACTTTTCAGATTATCGTTCAAGCGGACGAATCTTCGTCCCACGTTATACGTTGCCACAGTATACTGGATTTCCGTGGAAATGATTACAGTGTACATCAAGTACAAAGGTGCATAGTTAATAGGACCTTTGTCAGTTATCATTTTGTTCTCTGTTTTACGATTCCATGTGTAGAAGTCTATAATCGAGTTGAACCAAAGATAAGTGAGGCTGCATATCGTTAAACAAATCGTGAATCTTCGAGCTCTCTTTGGAGATGTTACACCGATCTTTCCATCTACCTGAGGTGAAAAAAAAAAAAAAAACGGACACGCTTTAATCGTTAATGAAATGGCAAAGAAATTTGCAAAATGATTCTTCACCTCGATTAATTTGTTCATGACTAGTTGCAGGTATTTCCATCGGAAAGGAGAGCCAACAATACAAACAACCGTTAAGCCCATTACCCCAAGCACGTCGCTACACGTCGCGATTACCGCTGTTCGAGATTTCAGTCTGGTACTATGCTCCCAGCCATCTTTCAGATCTCGCCACAAGCCCCAAATTTCGGAGCCGAGAAGTAATATCAGCACACACAAACTACAAAACGCACCACGTGCATCATCATTCTATTTAGATATTTCCAATAGAAACAAATTGTGCCGATTGAAAGTCAAATAACTTTATCAATGTGTTCAGTAGATCATTCTGAATCAAAACAGTTATATATACTATGGATACCAAGGTACTCATTTCTTATTTACATATTTCAAAAAACAGATTTTACATATACATACGTACATCGCATTCCTCTTCACAAATATTAGGTGAAATTGTCTATACAGTTATGTGAAAACTTAAGTAACTCTAACATCATGACAGTAATCTCATCGATATTTTCGACACAGATTTTTACCTGTTTTCATATTTTTAAGCCCCAACGTGATTAACAGAACTACACAGCTACTAGATACTCTACTCTTGCGCATTGTACGTTGCTGTGTATTATACATATTGTACGCATTTTTGTATCTACTTTCGCATAAATGCGTAAAAATCCAAGGTCTAGATCTAACAATTTGAATTCTCTTCTTACCTATGTATGCGTATTTCATATGTACGTGACCATTTGATTCAAAATGATCCAGCAAACATACTGATAAAGTTATTCCATTTTCTACTGAGGGAGCCTTAATATATTTAATCATTTTATTCGTTCTTTCTTACCTGTACACAAGGTCTACGATATTTAAACGAGCCTGACATCCTTCAGAAGCGTGTACGTAAAATCTTACTGGCACTAAACCACACAATTTACCAAGATAATATATAGGAAAGATAGCTCGGCAAAGATCGTCGCCATACGGAGCTTTTCGTTTTTCGTCTGTCCACTTCAACTCCATCTTCCAATTTTTCTATCGATTTTCTAATTTAGTCGTATTATTTGACGAAACGATTTAATCTATTTCTACTCCCCGTGACCTTTCTACGTGCAATCGATCAAATACAGAAACAAGCTTCTTTCAATATCACGTATGTATGTACGTACGTATGTTCAATTAACTTACTGAAATTACGTTATTCTATCTTCTATCAAAATAAAATAATAAACATCGCTGTTCCATCACCTACATATTTTCGTGTAACTCTTTGAAAATTATGAAATAGGACAAAATTGATTGGAGATGTAAAAATCTCGGCACAGTAGCTACGTTGCAGTACACTTGCACTTCCCGTAGAAGTAAGTGCCAAATGGTTTTTAAATGTTTTTAAGTGTTTCAGTGAAGAAGGAAATATATGTTTACCAACATTCAATGCGGCACAATCTCTCTTTCTCTCTGGTTTTCACAATCGTTTAAAGGACTTTATATCAAGTATTAGTCTCAACTGTATACATTAATTCTTGTCAAATTGTTGACAGATAATTATCGTTAGTTGATATGTATCGCGCTGATATTGACTTGGCCGAGAAACACATTTCTTTGTTGAGCACTTAATCATTGTGTCTGTTCTGTTATCATTGGGCGCGAGCCTGTTCATAACAGGTGTTTATGGAGACATATACTACATACAATGTGTAGTTATTGGAAACTCTTGCACGAGCGCACTGCGAGAGAGGGAGAGGGAAAAAGAGACTTTAAATACATTTTCAAGCCTAGCACGTACGATCAGCACATTTATTCACTAAACTACTAATTTATTTACTAAGTTACAATTCTTTATTTGATCAAATAAAAAATAACGCAGCAGATAAACGGGAAAAACGTTTGTTATTCCGTGTAGTTGAACACAATATGAAATAGAGGATCATGTAGCACGTGTGATCGAAGGAAAATAAGATCGTCTCAAATAAACGAATTTGATGGAAGTTTCACTTCATCAAAGTACTCCTTTCTTCAAATCAACAAAGATGAAACGTTGCGATTTGCGATAAATAAACATTCGTAGTGTAATGGTATTGTGACACGACACAATGGTATTGCGGCGCAACGTGAAAATCATGGGAAAGAACATTCGCATTGATAGTTAATCTACGTTATATCGCATTCGTCGATCTTTTCTCTTTTTTTTTTATCGTTTTAATGTCACGTTTCTTTTTGTACAAATGTCTATACACTATATACAGCATTTAGACGAACATGAAATGCATCGATGTCATCGTTAAGTCCGAGAGCTTTGTGAGGAATCGGTCCCAATCGATTATTTTAAACGGAAAACATTGTATCGTCTATTTATAATATATTATATCGATGATTACAAAGACCTGATTTTAAAGTTTCTTGTATTCTTTGTAACAATTATGCACTCGAATCAAGAGTGATAACTAGCAGTGTCACTGGCAACTTCAATTTGCGTCCTTGCGATTCCAACCTATTGAGGTTAACTGAATGTTTTCATCCGAGGTTAAGTGTTGAATTGCTCCTACGTGTACGAGTTTCATCTCGATCTGTATTAATTATCCGACTGTTTTATGATTTGGAGATTTTTATATGATTTGAAGGTGATAAGAAATGGAGCGCAACGAAGAAGATTGGTCGATAGAATGTTCTGACGACGAAAAGTACGAAATGGATGGAAAAGTAAGTAAAAGACCAAGGAAATATTAATAGAATTTTGTTTATTCATTGTTTGTTCGTTGAGCTTTTTTTCCTTTTGCTTTTGCGTTTAGAACGAATGGACTCTGAAACCTAACGACATATTAACATTGACTGAAGCCCTTGAGGCTAATAACAGAGCTTTGGAACTCGAATGGAAGTGTCCAGGTAGAAGAGGTCCATCTCCTGTTCCCACAAATATTCGACAGCAAGATAATGGCTCACAGGAGTACAAGTAAATGTTACACATACAGTGGCTTACGAAAGTACTTGAACACTTGTAAAAGCTTTATGAATATATCATGTGAATATAATTTGATATATATTCAATCTGTTCTATATTTTATATGTATGTATATATACAGAAATCATAAGATACTTATTGCAAGCGTAACTTTGTAAAAATCATCAGAGTATTTGAGTAATCAATTATTCTACACCATTATGTTGGTGTGACATAATGTTTAGAACTGATTTATATAGGATGATCAAGACTGTTATTTACGCAATGTAGTAATCTTTTCAAAGCATATGCATGCTAGGAAAAAAAATTCAACTTTAAGGGCTTATAGAAGGCTCCTAAAAGCTATTGATATAAAATCAATTTTCCTTACTTGTTTATGAACCACTTTGTCTCATATACACACAAATATAGTTTATCATCATTTTCACAGCATTGTATCAGTTTCATTTGTTTCTTTGTTTAGGACAGAAGAGAAGTCGGACTTTGATTTCATGGATGAGATGTCGTCGCCAAGATTACCAGTTCGTAGAACTGGCGAAAGTACTCCGAAAGGAAGCGCCAAGAAAAAAACTGCAAGTTTCAACGGTGTACTATCAACCATGTTGCGACATCGCAGATTGGAACAACAGGAAATTAATTCAAGTCCAAAAAAGATCGAATCACCTGTATCAAAAACACAGCCGACCTAATTGTTTCATCGATGCCATCGCGGTTATGTTTATAACGAATTGCGTATTATATTTCAATACTTGTATAGTAATTAAAGTCTATCGTGTTTAGTAATTAAAATTGTATGTATATTTGTATTTTATATTCTTACTATGTAATTGAATTAGATAAATGTACAAAGCGTATCCTCTATTGTACAATATGATATTCGCGTATGAATACTATTTTAATTCAGCATGTTGGACATGTTTAATCAATGTATATTTTATTTATTTAACAGAAAGATGGACGAAACATGATACATATTGTTTAATACAAGAAAATTGAGAAAAAAGAAAGAATAAACTGATAAATACGTAAGAGAAAAATGATATATACGTAATTTCATGTCGGGGGTGTGTAGTCGCTCGTAGCCCAGGCTGGAAATTCTTTAATGTTATGAATGAACATACCCCAGGTAACAAAGTTAATGCAATTTACTACGAGACCATAGATGGAAGGAATGCAACCTCCCATCATCAGCGATTGAGTCGGAATATTTCCAATAACTGATATAATTGCATTCGGAGGTGTACCAACTGGTAATCGAAAAGAGAAAGAACACGATATAGTTGCTGGTACCATCAAATACATGGGATGCATCTCCATTGCAACGCACTGTATAACAAAATAACTTGTGTACCAACAAATTGGTGATAGAGTATCGAATAATGGTGTTTTGTTTGAGTAATATTTTACCATCTGTGCAATAACTGGTAAGGTGATGTTTGCGATTCCAACGTTTGAAGTAAACTCCGTAATAGTGCCAATAAAGAAACAAACAATCAGCATAATGAAAAAAGGAGGCAAGTATCGTAGCGGTACCAAAGTTTCACCGATCTTCTTTGCCAAACCGGAAGCCATACTGCCTCTGGATATCGCGAACCCACCGCCCAAAAGGAACATTAAACTCCAAGGCATTTTTCTCTGGATAACGTCCCACGTGATCAAACCTTCCGAAGATTTGAAGGGTCTTTTAGCAGCTACAAGAACAGAAACGATATATAAATAAATAAACAAACAAATTCTATTATAGAGAGAAGTCGTTCGTCATTTGTTTCTTCCACACTTACGGTCTTTGCTCCAGGTACGAAGAAAATTAAAATCTTTCGGAATAAAAAACATCATGATAGATACGAATATGACGGGCACTGAATCTCGAAGATCTCTGTGGATCGATTAAAGATATGCAATGAATACGTATTTTGAATAATGATAGACGAACGAAATGTATGTAAATAAAATATCTTACATATCCGTTATTACTTCGGCCCACCCTGTTACGAAACCAGGTTTCCGAAATAGCCATAAAAATATGCAGAAAAGAAAAAGACCGGCAACTGCTGCTTCGTGAAATTTAATACCACCTAATTCTTTATATCTTTGCTCTATCACCTTTAAACAGTTTTTAAACATTGGTTCAATAAACGAATCATCGGTTCTGTAAACGGTGTGAGAAATTTGCAACTGCTCGTTACTTGATTCGTAACCATTTCTCCTTCGACTCCAATTTCCGCTACCTCTGCGTCTTTACTACGAGGTCTAAGGTAACCCATGTAAGCTACCCGAAGATAGAACCATGTCAAGAAAGTATTAACAATCATTTGCGGTAACGAGGCGATCATCCACTGTGTAAAATTAATGCCTTCGGAATGGGGAAATATACTTTCGAAAATGCCCTTGAAAGTAAGGTTAGTACCGGTTCCTACGAGAGTTCCTGTACCTCCGAAGGTTGAACAGTACGCTGCAGCCAGCAGATAAGCTGTTGTTATCCTTGTCGGTCGCTTTTCCCTACGATATGTAGCGTTAGAATCAGAAAATTGTTATTTGCTTCTTTGCTTTCTTCCTCACTCCCTCCCTTCTTTCCTCTCTTTTTACCCTTCCTGCCTTTTACCTCTCTTATTTCATTCCCCATACTCATTCATGTTTTGTTTATCTCATATGTTATGTCATTTTATATCTTACGGTGGATCTAAAGATCCTGGAGGTACCGGGAGTTCGTCATAGACGCGACAGTATCCGGCCTAAAAAGAATATTAATAGAAAAAGAGAATGAAAAGGAGAAAGAAAAAAAGGAATTACGACGTCAAACCTGTTCCAATTCGTTTAAAACAGCAAATATGATTGGTACCATCATAGCGGTTGCTGCAGTATTTGAGACCCACATGGATATGAAAGCAGTAACGGCACAAAGACCGCCGAGTAATTTTCCATGAGTACAACCAACTGTTTTCATTACTCCAAGAGCGATTCGTAGATGTAAATTACTGTGTTCGATTGCGATAGCAAGAACTAGACCTCCTATGAACACCATTATAGTATCGTTTACGTAGCAACCACAAACATCTGCTGTGCTTAACACTCCAAATGCTGGAAATAACACCACAGGAATTAACGAAGTAACCGCCATGGGGAAACATTCTGTGATCCAATATCCAGCCATTATTAATATGGTATAGGCGCATCTAGTTTCCTACGAAACAGATATTTGGTAATTAATTATAAACATATATCTCGATTTCAATGACCTACGGATATTATTCGAAAATTATTCGGAATGTTAAACATGTGATAATAAGCGCGTTTATTTAAATTGTTTCACTTGACGCAAGTACACGATATATATATATATATATACACTCTGTTTTAATAATTTAAACTCGATACCTTGTAATTATAAACAAGAAGAGGAGGGATCAGAATCAGAGCCCAGATCACAGCAAACAATATTTTCCAATATATCTTGAGAAACCGTAGAGTGAGAATTAACTTTTCTCGTCTTGTCAATGTTTCTTCTTCTGTCAATGTGGCTTCTCCCATATTTCTTTATTTCTTTCGTTCCTCTCGGGAAGACCGGAATATGTGTTGGACACCAGAGATGTGTTTGGTTAAATAGTAATAGTAAATCTTGTCTACACGTGTTTTTTAATTTCTCCATCACTCTTTTGTTATATTTGTCAATTTTACGATTGTTCGTTTCTTTTTTTGTTGTGACATAATTTCCTTAACTAACTTTTCTTTGCAAACGAAAATTTGATACTGAAATATTAGCGCCACGTTGTGGTGAAATTGTGGAATTAGTCTCTTCGTGATAAAATTAAAAAATTAAATTTGTTGGTCTGTAGACGACGAGATTTAAGCTGTTGAGGAAGCAAATAACCTTCTCTAATATTGTTTCGATTTCCTACGTAATTAATTATATGCAATTAGTACGAAATAGCTTATTTTGTTTGAGACATGCCACCTATCGACATGTATGGGAACTAAAATATTGATAACTTGGGTCACTTCAATGTCACGTTTAATGACAGTTTTGAATAGGACATTACAAAAAATTGCAAAAAAAGCTAATTAAGAGGGTTAATTTGTGATTTTTTGCAGTCGCGTCATTGATTTTAGATCGTCATTGAATTTTCTTCCTTCATTCTATTTTAATCCGCGAAATGGCTGCGTAAAGATTTTCAAAAATTTGCATGATAGATCGAAATCCTTTTTTACATTAACATTTAATTTCTCGCAAACTACGCCACGAATTTGGATCGAACTCGTTCGGCAACGTAACTGAAAATGCCAGCTTAATATCTATTCTTTAATATGCACAGAATGCAAGTTAACCAAGTGTGAAAAGGTAGGAAATGTATTGTAATTTATAATAATAACATGACGCGATTAATTCTCTACAGTTTAGCCTCCACGTGGCGCTAGTGTTCCAGTGTCCATGAATTGATTAAATTTTCACTTGAAAAACAAACTAATTTACGTTATTAATTTTTGAACTGTTACTACGTCTAAAGATTTACGAAATTGTACTAGTTAAACTCGCACGGTCTCAAATCAAAATTGAGAAACATTTATTTAATAAATTTTACATTTCTACACGATTTATTCCCATTCTACGCGCGTGTATACATGTTTCTGAAAGCTGTCATTTCTCACTATGTCCTTTATCACTTACAATTTGACTCGAATGAAACTTTTGAACACAGTTTAACAGAAATCGAATGTTATTTGTTGGAATGATAGGCGATCTATTTAGTCGAGTTTGTTGATCTTTCGATTCAGGCATTTCGTAAGTCGTAAGCGAAACGGAATATATTAAGAAGACGCTCAAGATCTTAATAAAAAAAGCTTAAATTAATGCCTGAAAGTTAAAAGATTTCGCACATTTTGCATATTTCCAACAATTTCGAAGTATAATTACTAGTATAATTAATTACTAAAATATATAATTTGGAAATGTACTATGTAATATACTGGTACTCTGGAATTATACTGCATCAATACTGCAACGACATTTAATTAGTCTATTAATCTATAGATTATACGTTATAATCTTTGTCAGTGATAGTCAGAAATAAATGTTATTTTTATTTTATACATTTGTAGCGTGATCTCGTACAAATCTCGTACGTGGCGCGCTAATCTGAGAGCCGCAACATCGCGCGAGAGAGGGCGATCTTGAAGCCCTTTACACCCTTTATGCGTTCTCACTGCATCGCTTTTGACAGTAGCTGTCCGCGTTAGTCGCATCAATGATAACTTGGACTCAAGGCGAGGTGGATGTTTTAATCTTCGTATGTCTTAGAATTTAGAAAATATATCGTAAATATATCGTACTTGAGTGCGTTGAAAAACACACGAACGCACGAACACGGAAACTGTTCCAAGTGTCACGTTTTCGATTTAGGTAAGTCAATCGTACATTACACGCGCAATGTGCATTTAATTTTGGTGTTTTACCTTGACTATCGAGCTGCGCTGCGCATCTGTAGTAAGTATGTAGGAAACATACGTTATTTATTCCACGTAATTGCCAATTTTTTTTCAATTTATTTCTTCTACGTCTATTTCGTTAGTTTTTCTTTTCTTTTTACTTAATATTTTACTTAAACATTAGAATCACGGAAGAGTAAGTATCGTAAGTATTTATAATATAAAATTTGCATCAAGGAAACGAAAGTGCAAAGGACAGTAAAAGGAACAAAAAATTTTATTCATACGTTTTAGATAGCTAAATATCGAGAGATGAACACTTATTTTACATTTATGAATATATTAATCTCACATCAGTATGTAGAAACCTATATGTATATTACATTTTTATTTTTATTCTATTTAGTTATTCTATTTACTTGTGTAGTATCTATGTATGCCTATTTGCATTTTTGTTGTTCTTGTCTCTATCTGGCTTCTCTTCTATTTCCGCTATTATGTCACTGCTGCTTTCATTTTAGTTTAGAAGTTCTAGACGTTACAGTCTAGAAGTAACATTGTTCAACATTCAATATATAACTTTACGTAAAATTATTCAAATTTATAAAAACGTAAAATCTACAAAATTTCTATGAGAGAATTTTTGAGAGAATTGATTACATCTCGATAATACTCGAGTAATTCCAGCGTTTAGTTAACAACATTTTAATGCACAGTTCGAACTAGAACGTAGTAGTTCTTTTTTCGTACGATCGGAGTTAAAAGATTGGGGAACAAACGCGTTGGGAAGGAAAAATGAATGGGGGGGGGGAGGGGGAGAGGGCAAGAAATTGAAAATGAAAGCGAGATGGCCGAACGAGAGAAGCCTAGCGTTTGTAGGAGTCCTTTTCCATTTAGAATTTAGAGTGAAAAAAATAATAGAATAAGAAATGAAACGATTATTAGGCCTATTACAATTATACCCTTTGCTGCGATGCCTTGACTGCCGCTAGTAAAAGTAGAAAAGACATGCCATGTACTATGTAATATATAATACATGTAATTCCACGGCACGTTTATCGATAACACACACGACGATAGTTTTTTTTTGCAGTGGTTGCCAAAATCTAACGAAAGAATAAAGAATGTCAGTGTCAGATACTTTTTAGAGAATCGATTGAAACGAACGTTGAACTTGTTTTCCAAATTGTCGCAGGAGCAATTGAACGTTGCACTAGAGTGGCTAGGGTTTTGTAAATAGTGTAAATAGTAAAATAATTGCCGATCGGAATAAAAGAAGAGGTGAAATGAGAACGATGGAGGCGATGCTAGGGGAGGGCAGAGAGGGTGAGAAGAGATTGTCGATGTTGAAGAAAGGGGGAGGATGAGAGAGACACTGACACCGAGAGAAAGACGGGGACAGGCGTGCAACTAAGCCCTGGCAGAGAAAAGGAGAACACCAATTTACCCATACAGTTAAAGAGTAACGTCTGTACATCACACATGCATGTGTGTGCAATGTGCAATGTACAATGTACGTATGTACATACGTACAATGGCTGGAGGGATGGCGAGTGCAGCGATATCGATCCCACGCAATATCGCGTTGTTCCTAGTAGTGTTTCCGCGGGCGCGGGCGTAGGCGTAGCGACGTCGAACGTGGCCACGAGGTGGTAGTGGTGGTGGTGGCGGTGGCGGTGGCGGTGGCGGTGGTTGTGGCGGTGACGGTGGCGGTGGTGGCGAGCGCGGCTACTATTGGTGATAGTGTCTTTTTTGCCGGCGGAAAAGCGTGACCATTACTTTGTGCACTATTTGTAATCATTGGCCTTGATCATTGAGCACTCGTATGTACATCCGACTGCATTTCCACTAAGAGAACGAACGATTTTCAAGATCCCGGAGAATAAATAGGATAGCTGATTGAAAGTAGTGGTATAAAACAGTGCTATACGCTGTGCCCCCTTACTTACTACTGTAAAGTCAAACGAATCTGACAGAGATGTACTTCAGAAATTTAAAAAATTCTATTCCTTCCGCAAAAAGGATATAGGATTATTATTATTATTATTATTATTATTATTATTATTATTATGTATCGAATATTCACTGGCCACTAGAGGATGGGGGAAAGAAAAATGGCAGGAAACTACAGTGGCTCGTGAAAGTGTTTCATTACTCGTAGAAACTTTTTATGGGTGCATTACGCGTGTTGTATGAAATATTTTGAAATTTCACGGATCGATTCCGACTCCGATCGGTACCCGATTATCACGACATGTACATGTTGGTGACTTACAATCGGTGCAAATAGAGGCACATTTTTATACCATTTTTATGTACATTTAGTGGAAATGTTGCACGTACTTGGGGACGCAAGGATGTATATATGTATTTCGTGATAGTGTTTGAACGCTGGGAACACTTGAGTCGATTCAGTGGGATCGTAACTTAACACTTGACTACTGTATCTTTAAAACAGCTTCATTCGTATAGGTACACTAATTGTTTTACTAAATACCCTACATTTATTACATGCATTGTTACATGAACAAAATTGTCACATCTCGTTACAATTTTGATGAGATGAAGTTTCAAAATATTTGATGAGCACGTGTAAGTATACGTAATATAAGTATATGTACGTGTATATAGTAGTACGTATTGTAATAATTCGATACGTGAAAGTTTTCTATGGAAAAGTTCAAAGTAGGTACTTTACAAGTTATCTCATACTCGTGTAAGGAATGAAAATTTTTAGTGTACTATAGCCATTTGAATAGAATCAGATGAAAAATATGATAAAAATAATAGCAGTTTATCGTTTATAACCGCTATAATATTTATGTATTGTATATATTTGTTATCTTGCAGATAATATTAACGAGGGTACGTACATCGTTCGATCCTCGGTGAAAATGTGGGGAAGAGCAAGTATGGCAGCTATAATGGTTCTGCTTCTAACGTGTTGTTTATGCACGTTGAACGTGGCCTATGCCAAAGGTTTCCATTTTTGATTTTAATGTCAATTTTAATCCTCCGCACTTGATTCTTCGCATTTGCTAGTTGATCAATGTCCTTTGATTACAAAACGTGTAACGTGTAACGATGAGGAAGAATTCAGAATTGAAAGTAATAACCCGTCTACTTCCCGTCTTCTTTCTTCAAATTTTTCGAAGAAAATCAATGAATTACATTTAAATTGTGAATTTTGCTAATTACATAATTCATTATTTCGTTTCTATTTAATTGAATACACGTTACATTTAACATGTTGTAAAATTGCATTACGTACGCATGTAGCAAGAGCAAAAGAAAGTTGACAACCTAACGAATGAAATGCGCATTTTGCAGGAAGCGTCGCAGACTCTACTTCGAGCGACACCGACGGGGAAAACATTTTGGAACGAGCAACTGCATGGTTATGGAGTCAACGAAACAAAGATGCCGGTTGGGGAAACGATACTCATCGAGTATTGCTGGTTCTTCGACTGGGCAATCTGTCGCGGGAGGATAACGTTGCGCCTGCGGCTCCTCTTGAATTGCAGCTCAGCAGCAAACAGATGGAACTTGAAATAGTTTTGCTTCTATGGAGGTAACTGTAATTGTTGGTAGTGTCGACCGATGAGAAGGAACTTTTCTCTACTCGGAAACTGTTCGACGTTCGTGATTCACGAAAAAAGATTCACGTTCAACAAATAAAAGTAAAAGAATAGTAATTAGGTATATCGAGTAATTTCGCTACGTACCTTTATACCCTACTTATTAGCTTATTACAAGATTTACCTTGCTATTGATTGGAGTTGAACCAATCCAATGACCAATATGCTATATATACACGGCCATTACATGGCCATGTGTTTACAACACATGGTGTAAATATATCAGTGTGCATATATCATATACAGTATAATATTCAACTTGACGTACCAAAGTACTTGACGTACCAAAGTACAAAACGTACAATACGTTTGTTACAATACGTTTACAAGTAGCTTAATCTTTATTCTTATTCTCTGGAACGTCGTTGTATTCGTTCGAAGAAGAATAACGTATGTTTTTCCATAGGCACAGAGAAGTTGGCTTTTCTCCTGTTCGCCTAGCGCGCTACACTCTTGCCTTAAATGCCATGTGCACGGATCCAAGACAATTTCACGGTCACGATTTGATTGGAACGCTTCAACATCACGAACCACCGACCGATTACGAGTTTGCCTTTACCACGTTAGCTGCGTGCAATGCGCAAGCTCACGTACGAAAAAGGCAGATACGTCGATTGCTTGACATCGCGAACGCTGCTCAAGATCACAACGTCGGTAGATATCGTTCACCTTCCGATCGATTCTTTCTGTTTCTGTTTCTGTTTCTGTTTCTGTTTCTGTTTCTGATTCTGTTGTATTTCACGCGGAATTAGTATTAGTATTAGTGTTAGTATTAGTATTAGTATTAGTAATTAGTTCCACGTTATCCATTGTACATATCGTAGTATATACTCGCATCGTGTACATCACGATATCTGCGACACTTTTACATTTATGGCAGTAGGTATATACCTTCGCTGTCACATGAAAAAGCGATGAGAAAACTAGCTACTGTCGTAAGATAAAACGTAAAATGACGAAGTAACGAGTTAGTTTGATGTTTTTTTCGACGGCGGTGACGGCGATGGCCGCTGCCAATTTTTTTTTTATTATTCTCTCTTTATATAATTTCTCTTTTTCACCTTTCATTGTTAGATACCGTCGCGATGGTAATCTTAGCCTTAAAGTGCATCGTTCAGGATCACAGACATCGAAATCTCCATCATTTCGTGCGCAAACCGTCGATTGGTTTAGCGCAACAGCAAAGACTCGATGGCAGTTTTGGAGATGTTCGGACAACGGCGTTGGTGATGCAAGCTCTCGAAGAAGCGGAGAACGAACCCGCCGACAATTGGAATAGATCAGCCGCTTTGGCATGGTTAACCAGTCAGCAACGAGCCGATGGATCTTTCGCTGGTGACGTTCGTGCGACCGCCGAAGCGCTTCTTGGCGTGGCGCCACGTGGTTTAGCGAGCATCCGGACGCTCGATTGTGGGCAAGGACTTGCCGAAACTTTACCACCGAGATTCGCTAACGGAAACGGAAACGGAAACGGAAACGGAAACGGTAACGGTAACGGTAACGGTAACGGTAAGCGTTTTCTTTCTTTCTCACTTTCTCGCACCCATTCGACTCTCGTTCCCATTCTCGTTCTCAATCGAAAAACAGCATTTCTATTACGAATTTCAGTTTATTTTTATTTTCCAAGATTATTTGTCGAGAAAAATCCATTTAAAATTCAACGCTGAGAAACAGAGAAACGCTGTTAATCTTACAAATGTTAATCTTACAACGCGATGCTGCAGAGCCAGCGGCGGCGATCCCAGGCAATCGTAACGACAGTCTATCGATATCTGTCACTTCTGGGACCAGTGTGGCGACTAATGTCACCGTTGGGAGCAGCGGAACTGGACATAACGGAAGCAACGGACATAACGGAAATAGCGGGAACAATGGCAACAAATACGCGACAAATACGTTCAACGCGAGCAATACCGATGGCAGTACGATCGTTACCATTGCAACACCGGCTATGGTAAACGTTTCTTACACCCTATGGGTTGGCAGCAACGTGAACGAGACATACAGTTTGACAGTGACCGCGCCTAAAAACGAAACATTTTACGAAGTGATGCTTCTAGCCGCAGAAATGTCACCGCATTTTCAATTTGTTGCATCCGAATGGCCGAATGGACACTATGTTCACACGATAGCAGGTTACAAAGAAGAACCAATGTCCTATCATTATTGGTTGCTGTATCGACTGACTGCTCCGCCCGATCCAGCCTCGCCACCGGGTAATCAACTGGTTGCACCTGGAGGTACGCACCATACGCATGAAAAATAGAAAAATAGAAAGTATCCTCTTAGTGAGCACTCCTCTCTCGAGAGCACGAATGATAAGAGACAAATGATAGGTCGACATGCTGTTTACAATGCTTATTTGAAACTTATCTTTCATACGATTCGAGACGCATGGACTCTAACCAAAACAATCTTTCAGGTGTGGACGATTTGCAGATCAGCGAGGGAGATCACTATCTATTCTGGTATAAAAAGCTATGAGAAGCAGCAACCTGTCGACGTCCAGTTGTATCAAACGAGTAACGAGAAGGAGGAAAAAGTACGCAATTATCGTGCGTGCGTAGAGAATTAATTAACAACAAGTTTCAGGAGAACGACGTGACGCGCGACTCAAGAATAAAGAGTAAAGAACAAAGAGTAAAGGATAAAGAGTGAAGAGTAAAGAGTAAAGAGTAAAGAGTAAAGAGTAAAGAGTAAAGAGTAAAGAGTAAAGAGTAAAGAGTAAAGAGTAAAGAGTAAAGAGTAAAGAGTAAAGAGTAAAGAGAGTAAAGAGTAAAGAGAGTAAAGAGTAAAAAGAGTGAAGAGCAAAGAGTAAAAATTGTTATCGTTATTCATGCGAAAAAAGGGCTCACTTTATTCACTGCCATCGCTAAATATACGTACGGCAATGTACGCGACATTTTCCTGGAACATGTTTATATCGCTCGTAGGTATGTCATGTTCCTACGAGGGTGTCGAGAATAGTAGAGCTGGCAGTGATCGATTTTTTCAAACTCTGCTCCGTAACTGAACCGATTCAACGAATTGGCGACACGCGACATCGCTACTTCGCTGCTCTAATTGTAAATCGTGCCGATTCAATTGATTTGAATTGAACTGACGCGATAGAAAATATAATTTACCGGGCAATAATTTACCCGAATACCATGCGTATCGTAACAACTTAACTTAACTTAACTTAACTTAACTTAACTTAACTTAAGCTAACAACATATTTTCTATGAAACTGCAATGCACAACCACATTGTACCTACTTATATGATATGGCGATAACGTATAAATATCAACGTAACGAGTGATATTTCAATAAGTCCCATATCCATGTTACCAGTATATATTAGTAATCTAAAAAGCAAATTCTTGGTATCTTGCTACGCGTATTGCTTTATAATCACCGATTATTCCTGCGCTACAAGACTACGAGACGAAATGTCTGCTTGCTACGACATAAATACACGAACGAAAGATTTTCTCCGAAGGAAGGATACATTTCGATCGACGGTTTTTTCATAATTTGCCTAACGTTGTAATATTGTACAGTTTTTTTTTTCTTTCTTTCTTTCTTTCTTTCTTTCTTTCTTTCTTTCTTTCTTTCTTTCTTTCTCTCCTTTGTTCTCTGGAGTGAATAAAATGTCGAATTACAAATTGTACATGGCGTATTTTACAATATTCTCCTTGAATATAGACAACATTACATATATAAAATCGTATGAAAATTACATATAGTAGTACGTAGGTATGTACTTACGTTGGTGTACGATCGGACAAAGTAAGTAACTAAATGAGTAAGTACCTAGATGCGTAGAAATCACGTGTACGTAGCATCTCGATATAATTTCATCATACAGTTGGTTCGTTACTTTCTCAAACGATTCGAATGAAAGAGAAACTATTTAAATGTAACTATACGATATATGTAGCTATTCGGTTTCACAACTCTCTGATGTTTGTGTTTTCTTTAAATTTACCTTCACCCGCAAGTATTGTGGTTTGCTAAAATAAACAATAGGAAAACGTAAGAAAACTATTGATGCCTAAAAATATGTTCGTTAAATACGGTCGTATTTGTACCCGAGGTTCGGCATCGTTTGTATATCGTATATCGTTATATATCGTGTCGTATCGTATCGTATCGTATCGTATCGTATCGTATCGTGTGCAAGACAAGGATGGATAAATGAGATTCTATTATAAATCGATATTACTCTTTTAAATAAGATTTTTTTTTTTTTTTTTCATACGTGGCGTGGTGCCTTGCTTTCAACAAAATTGATCCAAAGTTCGTAGTTAGTACACCTGAACTTGGCTAATCACCGATTCCGTGTACGAATAAACGTCCATCAGCCTGTAGTTATTAAAGTAAGATCACTCTCAACATTTCCAACATGTTGCACGTATTCAATAAAATTGGAGGACGCGAATTCAATTTAATAATAGATTTCGTCGACTATTATAAAGTTAATAGTTAGTTACACGCACTTTTCACAATACACGGTCAATAATACAATTCTAATGATTCAAGTCGAGCATTCTCTCAATTGCCAATATCTGCTTGTCAGCTTACAACGATGAGATCATTGAAAACAGCAAAATGTTATACACACTATAAGAAAGCAGGTAAGTACACATTACGTACATACGCAGGGCTGCAAATTCCAAGTGCTCCTTCATATTTTGAAATATTTCATACGTTTGATACGTGTAATCGACGTTCTGAATGTATAATAGGAAAAATAGGAATTTTGAAGAAATCTACGTTACGTTGCGGAGGGAGAATTTACGTATCTGTTGTTTATTATAATAAGAGCAGAATCTTATAAGAGTTAAAACTTTGGTTAAATGTTGAAGTAGAATCGAAGCTTTCGCTTTGAATTCGAACTTTTATAACTTGAAAATTTGTACAGACGAAAATTTCCTTCAATTTCCTTCAATTTCCTTCAATTTCCCTCCGCATCTCTATAAAAATCTCTACAATTCGAGTTACTCGTCACATTATTTGAAGCAAATCTGACTTTTGCAAGTCCAACATACATTACGTATGTATGTATATCTACGGAGGTAAGTCAATCGATCCCAATAGAATCACTGGCTCGACGATCGCCAATTGTTCATATACTTTAACAACAATATAATGTGGTGAAACAATATAATATAATGTGGTACAGCCAGAAGCGAGGGAAAAATCCTGACGTTTTTCATTCCGTTGTCCGAATTTTAACGAACTTTAACCTTTTATTTCCTTTATAATAAATTTCGTCGTAAGAATTATTAATAACCGTCCAAAGTTAATAGAGCACTAATCAAAAACTTCAGACTTGCAAGTCGAACATCAAGGTTCGTAGAAAATCGTTGGTTTGGTCGATCTTTGGGAATTCGACAAGGTGGAATCTCGATGACTCGAAGATTTTCTTCTCTACCCTTGAAATTCGAGTTGCTTCATTCTCAAATTTTTCATTCCTTTTACTTAAACGCGACAAACAAACTGTTACAAAATGAAATTTCACATTTGAAAATCTCTGAAACGAAAATCGCTGTACGTACGTACGTACGTACGTACGTATGTACGTGTTTAGCTCGACGGAGCTAGCTACCCTCTTTAAGGTATTTTCCACTTTAAATCGCACACAGTATAATGCGCGCTGTACGACTTTAACGAGTAGTTACGGAAAAGAAACCGCGAAATTGTTAATCGGAAAAATAGAAGGTTTCTAATTCTCTTGAAAGAAAAATAATAATATTTTTGTACAGTTTGTAAAATTTCCTATCACCAATATCGGAAACTAACGATTTTCGTTCTTACGTATGTTAAGATTACGTATGAAAATGATGACGGTTGATGCTCCGAGTAGCAAATTTTAATTCAAATTCGTCGTACGTATCTAGCGAAACTCAGAGACGGGAAAGAAATACTAAACGAGACAATAATTAATCATACAACGCAGTATTTCGAGGTTTGAATGCAAAATGGCCACGATCGATCCATCGCACTGCCGACGAAATGATTTTGTAACAAGGTTCTCTCCCGACAGTTTTGTCTCTCTCTCTGTCTCTCCCTCTCCCCCCCCCCCTCTGTCCCTTTTTCCTTCTTTCCTTGTCTTTTTATCCACCTATATGACCGTTTCTGTTCGTTCTCTCGATCTCTGCTTTCCCCTCTTCCTCTTCCTCGCCGTTTCTCTTTTCATCTGACGTTTGTTCGTCGGACGTCTGGTTCACGACCTCGTTCTATTCTTGCTGAAATTACGACGCTCTGTCGAGGCTGCTAAAGAGAAACTTGCCGCACTACTTATACTTGCGAGTGGAAACTGGTTGAACATCGTGAAACACCGAAAGAAATCAGCTAATTACTCTAATGATCGAACGAGCTAACGAGTCACCTCCGTTCCTCTTTCTCGTCTTTTCTTCTGATATTGATACAGATACTGTCTCTATATCAATAAATCAGAAAATCTATCTTCCTATCTATCTTCTCGTCGACTTTACTCGTTTGCAATCGTAATTTGTAATTTTTAGCAATGGGATCAAGTTTAACAGTAAGTACGAGTAAAGTAGCATTCGAACATGACAAATTCGGACAAATTCGAATTGAATTCAGTGTGAAAATAGTTGCCGACTATTATGTAACAGCTGTGATAGAGCGAGTGCTCTGTTTGTATATTCCATAAAACTATAAAAATAAAAAGACGGTACGTGCGATAGTGAACAGACACAGACACACACACACACACACACACACACACACACACACACACACACACACTTGTTTCTAATTAATAATTCGTTATTAATTCGTCGGAACGATGGTACAGCTATTGGTAAGTTTCTAGTTTTGCGATCTCGACAGAGGTAGCGTAAAATCGTATAAATCGGTAGAATTGAAGAAGAGAAAAGAACGTAAAGGAGTCAAAGAGAAAGTAGAATTGAATTCTATACTTGGCTCATTTTCGCGTCAGCACTTCACGCTGTATATACGACGCCACCAAAATTCGAGGAAATCAAAGAAAAAGTAGTGGGAAAAATATTGAAAATAGAAGCGCAGAGGTAGAAGAGGGAGAGTAAGATCGAAGATGAAAGAAGAAAGTGGAAGTAGAGTGGGTAGACGGTTTCGAGGAGTAGGCTCTATATTTACCGCGGCAATAAGGCGGCGCGGGCGCGAGGCCGAGTGTCGTCAAGCCAGAGGTCGGAGGGGAAACGGCAGTAGTGCGGGAACGTCGGAGCGCAGACCAGCCACCACGTTGCGGAGGGGCAGCGACGCGGCGCGACGCGGCGCGGCGCGGCGTCGTCGGGACAATCGGTGTGGCCGTCGTTATCGTTAACGACTCACCATCCAATACCGTCGTCACTCTCTCCTATTTCTTTTCTCCTTTCTCCCTTCTCTCTTCTCTTTTCTCTCTTCTCTCTTCTCTCTTCTCACTTTTCTCACTTTTCTCGTTTCTCCCTTTTCCTTTCTACTTTGTCCCTCCTGCTTCACCCTTTTTTGCTCTCACTTTCCTAACGTGCGCGTCCGTACGGTCGCACTCGAATCGTACGGTCATCCGACCGCTTAACCACCGAACCATTCACCTCTATCTATATCCCAACCATCCAGCCTTCCAACATTTCCAACCACCCAACCACCTAGACAATCCTCCTAGACAATCATCGGCCGTCTAAACTCTAAATCGTTCGTACGCGTTCGTCGGGAATTCGTCGTATCGAATCTAATATAATATAATCTATAATCTCTATCATCTCTGTACGATTCTTCTTCTTCTGTTTCCACTGCAATATGAACAACACGCGCAGACAAATGCACAGACTTGCGAAATTATCCGCGCGTTCGTAGTTATCTTTGTAATGTCACCGTGGAATGTACCACGTCTAAACTTGATTAACTCTGGACTACAATAGGACAAACAATAAGTTCGATAGGAACGAACAACCGACGTGTGTGAAAATAAACATGTCGAAAATTTCTTCGTTGAAAGACGTTGAAGTTTTATATTTTTCATCTATTTTTGCATTTATTAGAATAACTTGTCGCTCCTATTCCCTCCTATTTTTCTCTTTCCTCCCCCCTTTCTTCTCTTTCTTCTCTTTCACCTCCAATAGAGTGAACACCTGCAATCGCCTTCAATCGATTGTCATCATCTCCGCCTCATCCTGTATGTTTCGCTCAGATCACGAAACCG